GTCAGGTCCTCCCGTGTGTGTCAGGTCCCTCCCGTGTGTGTCAGGCCCTCTCGCGTGTGTCAGGTCCCTCATGTGTGTGTGTCAGGTCCCTCTCGCGTGTGTCAGGTCCCTCTCGCGTGTGTCAGGTCCCTCTCGCGTGTGTCAGGCCCTCTCCGTGGTGTCAGGTCCTCCCGTGTGTGTCAGGTCCCTCTGTGTGTGTCAGGTCCCTCTGTGTGTGTCAGGTCCCTCCCGTGTGTGTCAGGTCCCTCCTCGTGTGTGTCAGGTCCTCTGTGTGTGTCAGGTCCCCTGTGTGTGTCAGGTCCCTCTCGTGTCAGGTCCCTGTGTGTGTCAGGTCCCTCTGTGTGTCAGGTCCCTCTGTGTGTGTCAGGTCCCTCGTGTTTGTCAGGTCCCTCGTGTGTCAGGTCCTCTGCGTGTGTCAGGTCCCTCTGCGTGTGTCAGGTCCCTCTCGCGTGTGTCAGGTCCCTCCCGTGTGTGTCAGGTCCCTCCCGTGTGTGTCAGGTCCCTCTGTGTGTGTGTGTGTCAGGTCCTCCCCGTGTGTCAGGTCCCTCCCCGTGTGTGTCAGTCCCTCTGCGTGTGTGTCAGGTCCCTCCCCGTGTGTGTCAGGTCCCTCCCTCCGTGTGTGTCAGGTCCCTCTGTGTGGTCAGGTCCTCCCTGTGTGTGTCAGGTCCTCTCGCGTGTGTCAGGTCCCTCTCGCGTGTGTCAGGTCCTCTCTGCGTGTGTCAGTCCCCCCCCCCGTGTTGTGTCAGGTCCCTCGTGTGTCAGTGTCATCCCCGTGTGTGTCAGGTCCCTCGTGTGTGTCAGGTCCCCCCCCGTGTGTGTCAGGTCCCCTCCGTGTGTGTCAGGTCCCTCTCGCGTGTGTCAGGTCCCTCTCGCGTGTGTCAGGTCCCTCTCATGTGTGTCAGGTTCCCCCCCCGTGTGTGTCAGGTCCCTCTCGTGTGTGTCAGGTCCCTCTCGCGTGTGTCAGGTCCCTCTCGCGTGTGTCAGGTCCCTCTCATGTGTGTCAGGCCCCTCTCGCGTGTGTCAGGCCCCTCTCGCGTGTGTCAGGTCCCTCTCGCGTGTGTCAGGCCCCTCTCGCGTGTGTCAGGTCCCCCCTCGCGTGTGTCAGGTCCCTCCCTCCTCGCGTGTGTCAGGTCCCTCTCGCGTGTGTCAGGTCCCTCTCGCGTGTGTCAGGTCCCTCTCGCGTGTGTCAGGTCCCTCTCGTGTGTGTCAGGTCCCTCGCGTGTGTCAGGTCCCCGGTGTGTCAGGTCCCTCTCGTGTGTCAGGTCCCTCTGTGTGTGTCAGGTCCCTCTGCGTGTGTCAGGTCCCTCTGCGTGTGTCAGGTCCCTCTCGCGTGTGTCAGGTCCCTCTGTGTGTGTCAGGTCCCTCTGTGTGTGTCAGGTCCCTCTGCGTGTGTCAGGTCCCTCTCGCGTGTGTCAGGTCCCTCTGTGTGTGTCAGGTCCCTCTGTGTGTGTCAGGTCCCTCTGTGTGTGTCAGGTCCCTCTGCACTCGGTCGTGTTTCAGATAAATCACAAAAGGATTAGAACAGGATTTTCTCTTCGTACATTAAAAGCTAAAGTTAAAATCTGCAGCCTCGGTGGTTTTTAATCTCCTGAATTAACGGTGAAATTCTCACAGGGGTTTTTTATAATTTCCTGAAATAAACAGGAAAGTTTTTTTTCTCTCTCGAGTTTGGATCAAAAACTTCACAAGGTCAAACGGCTCCTCGATAATCATCACTGCATCAACTTTTATTTTTTAAATTCGTTTTTTTGTGCACATAAAGCAGATGTCACAGAAAAAAAAAAAAAAAAGTAGTAGTAAGTGTATGTGACCTTTTCCTCCTCCCATTATTCGCCCGTCGTCTCCAGAAAAATAAAAATAAAATAAATAATAATAATAAAAAAATATATATATATAAAAAATACATAAATAATAGTAATAATAATAATAATAATAATAATAATGTATTTATATAAAGTAATAGGTAAATAAAATAAATATAAGGAAAAGAGAGAAATAAATATAAATAAAAAGTCAGTAAATAAATAAATACGAGGACATACAGAATATTATTATATATATACACATACATAAATACATACAAACATTAGGGAGCATCATTTGTCCAACTTTTTGAAACATTTTTGAAAATCAATCTGTACCTAGTATCAATTTTTTGCACTTGCCAAAGTAAAGTTCCATGAGAAATTCCACAAGCCTCTGGAGTTTAGTGCCTGCAGACGTTTTTCTTTAATAACATCAAAAATAATAAATGTGCCCAATAGAATCAGAGGAAGTTGAATATAAATATGGACATTCTGAATCATTTGGTATCAGTTTTATGTCTCTGTCATCATTAGTTTTTTCAGATATGGCAAAAGTGTCATTTCTTTTGGTAATTCTAGGCCCTTGACCTTCTAGGACTTGAAACTTTGTCTCTCATTTCATCTTTGGCCTTTGTGGATTTTGGTTAATAAAAAAAAAAAAACACTCAAAATCTTGAGAAAATTGTTATATCTTAGAAAATGATGAAGATAGAAGATATGAAATTACCAAAAGTACCAAAAGATGCACAACAGCAACATTTCTATTCATCTTTCATTGACACCACGGGTCTAAATGCAGTATTTTTAAAGTTATTTGAGAAAAACTGAGACTTATGGACGCCTTTTGGATTGAACTTTTGAGTCTTGGTGGACCCAGTAGATTTTATTAAATTGAGCAAATATTCCAGAGATTTTCTGTTAACTGGTTTTGTCACATTTAAAAATTAGGTACAAGTTGAATTTCTGACATGATTCACCCTAATATACAGACTGTACATACACACAAATACAAATATACACAAAAGTACACATCACGTGTACACCATTAACTTATCATTCAGTGTATAAAAGCTGAACTATTTAATTTGCTCAATATTTGGACTTTACTTTTAAAATTGTATTTGTTGTACAGCGTCTTTGAATGTTTAGGAAAGTGCTGTGTAAATAAAATATATAAAATATAATAATATGATATAATAATAATTTTAATAATAATGTTTCTTTACAAAGCGCCTATTAGAACAATAAAAAATAAATAAATAAAAATACTGTGTAGACAATACAGTAGAGGAACAAGAGGCCATAAGTGATTAAAGAAAATTTAAAAAAGTATTATTTAAAAAAATAAAAAAATAATCATGCATACATTTTCTTTAGAGTAGTGGGGAGATTTATTTTATTTTTTTTATTTTTTCTATTTAATACAATAAGATTTGAGCTGTAGAAAGTAGAATCAGTCACTTTTATGTCAAATTATCTGTTTATTCTGTTGTTTAATTTGTTTTAGCTCAGACTTTTTAATGAAACCGTCTTTTTAAAAATAAGTTCACTTGGATTCTCCTGATTTATTTTTTGTTTTGTGTCAGTAGTCGATGAGACTATGAGACGAGACACGAGTTTGGATCTATGAAAATGAGACAAGATGAGACTTTGACATTCTTTTCCCAATTTTTTATTTACTTTATTTCATATTTCTGCTGACACTGTAGCACTATTTTTGGGACTGCAACTTCTCAAAAAATATAACTCACCACCAGTTCTTAACTACATTTTTTTAATCCAATCCAAACGTAAAAACGTGGGGGAAAATAATTCACGAGATCATTTTCAGTTTTCACCTGCAGTTCCTCGTGCGTCCAGCAGGTGTCTCTGTCGCTCTGCGTGAGTCTCTCTTCTGTTATTAGTCGTGTTTTTGATTCCGGTCACGTTTGGAGCAGATTTGTCTCGTTATAAATCTCCACCTCTCACACACGTCTCCTCAGAATCCTGACAGCGGCGTCTCTCTGCGGCCTCCGTTTTACATTTACCCCAAAACAAATTCTACAGTTTGTAAATGAGACGAAGCAAAAAGAAATCGTTATTTAAACCAGAGGAAGGATGAAAAAGAACAAAAATCTGACTCTAATCGATGACAAAACTTCCCCCCCTGTGTGTCAGATGCCCTCCCCTGTGTGTTCCTTCCATTGAAAAACACTCACATCTCCATGGAAACGAGCACTAAAGTTCCATTTGCAGCTTTAATAATAATAACATGAGCTTGAGGATGAATTACAGAAAGATGTAGTTGAATCAGGACTAAATAAAGGTCAAAAAATTGGACTAAACCAGGACTAAACCAAGTCTAAATGAGCTAGACTTAATCAGAATTAAACCAGGACTAAATAAAGACCAAACGAGGACCAGACCAATATCTAAACTAGGTCTAAACCAGGTCTAACCCTAGAACTAGACTAGGACTTACCCAGGTCTAAACTAAGACTAAACTTGGTCTAAACTAGAATTAAATCAGGACTTAACCAGGCCTAACCCCAGACTAAACTAGGCCTAAACCAAAACTAAACTAGGGCTTAACCTACTTACCCTAAACCAGGTCTAGATCAAGATTAAACTAGGTCTAAACCAGGTCTAACTCTAGAACTAAACTAGGACTTGCCCAAGCCTAGGTCTAAACCTAGACCTAGTATGGTCTACTTTTAGACCTTGTTTAGACTTGGGCAAATCCTAGTTTAGTTCTGGACGTAGACTAAACCAGGTCTAAACCAGGTCTAAACCAGGTCTTGCCCAAGACTAAACTAGGTCTAAACCAGGTCTAAACTTGACCATAGCCAGAACTAAACCAGAACTAATCTAGGACTTCACCCTAATTACCGTAAACCAGGTCTAAACCAGATTTAGACCAAAACTAAACTTGGCCTTAGCCAGAACTAAACCAGGACTTACCAAGGTCTAAAACAGGTTTAACCCTAGAACTAAACTAGGACTTGCCTAGGTCTAAACCAGGTCTAAACCCAGACTAAACTAGGTCTAAACTAGGTCTAAACCAGGTCTAAACCAGGACTAAACTAGGTCTAAACCAGGTCTAAACCCAGACTAAACTAGGTCTAAACCAGGTCTAAACCAGGTCTAAACCCAGACTAAACTAGGACTTAACCAGAACTAAACCAGGACTTAACTTTGTGTTTTGTGTCGTTTCAGTCTGCGATACTTCAGCCCGATCAGAGTCTCCAGGACCCACTGATCCACAGCCGCTCCGTCCAATCAGGAAGCCCGTCTGCCTCTGAAGCCCCGCCCCTCTCCCTGCCCCTCCCCCCCCCGCCGCAGAGGACCATGGGAAACGCAGTCCTCTCCCCTCCAAGCTCCGCCTCTTCATGTTCCCCGGCTCCTCCCCCTTCAGAGCCGCCGCCTCCTCCTCGGGCCCCGCCTCCAAGCGCGGCCCCGCCCACTCGCCGGGAAGCAGAGCCAAGCCGAGCCCCGCCCCTTCCTGTCCGTCGCCGTCGTTTTCCCGTCTTCCCAAACCAAAGACTCACTGAGCGCGCGACCCTAATGCAATCCAATGGAAAACGGACGGCCTGAGCTAACCACGCTAAAGCTAACGCAGTTTATTTCAGCTAAAACCATGTGCAATGACTTCTGGGAAATGTAGGCGGACGCTGACAGGAAGTGACCCAGTTTGTTTGTGGTTTGGGTTAAAAAAACTAAAACTAAAAAATCTCTAAATGTCGAGAAACGAACTGAAAAAGAAAAGTTCCTCCAAAAAATCTGTTATTTACAAAAGGACTAAACTAAATCTGGACCAGGACTGAACCAGGACTGAACCAGGACTGTACCAGGACTGAACCAGGACTGAACCAGGACTGAACCAGGACCAAATGAGGACTAAACCAAGATATAAACCAGGAAAGACTAAACCAAGTCTAGAAGAACTGAACTTAACCAGAACTAAACCAGGACTTAACTAGTAAACCAAGAAACCAAGTCTGACACAGGTCTAAACCAGGACTAAACCAGGTCTAAACCAGGACTAAACCAGGTCTAAACCAGGACTAAACCAGGTCTAAACCAGGTCTAAACCAGGTCTAAACCAGGTCTAAACCAGGACTAAACCAGGACTAAACCAGGACTAAACCAGGACTAAACCAGGACTAAACCAGGTCTAAACCAGGTCTAAACCAGGTCTAAACCAGGTCTCGTGTGGCAGGGACCTGGAGCTCGTGGAAATGAAGCGATTTGTTCCGTTTTTAATCTATGTAAAGTTTTTCGTACAAATTGGCTTTAAAAAGTTTTAATGAGAAACAAAATCCACAGAATCTGAGTTTGTTTCTGTTTAATTAGTAAAAATATTGAACTGAAATCGTGTTAATTAAGACAAAAGAGCCGAAGATTTAACGAAAGAGTCACAATTAAAAAAGAAAAAAACGTTTGGAAAATGAACCGAGGATCATCAGGAAGATTCAGGAAGTTTAACACGGAAAAAAGAAAAAACTACAGGAAATGTTCAGAAGTATTTAAAATAGACCAGGACTAAACCAGGACTAAACCAGAACTAAACCAGGACTAAACCAGGACTAAACCAGGACTAGACTAGGACTAACCAGGACTAAACCAGGACTAAACAGAAAACCAGACTAAACCAGGACTAAACCAGGACTAACCAGGACTAAACCAACTGAACCAGGACTAACTAGACTAGACTAGACTAAACCAGGACTAAACAGGACTCAGGACTAGACTAGGACTAGACTAGACTAGGACTAACTAGACTAGACTAGGACTAAACCAGGACTAAACCAGGACTGAACCAGGACTAGACTAGGACTAAACCAGGACTAAACCAGGACTAGACTAGGACTAAACCAGGACTAAACCAGGACTAAACCAGGACTAGACTAGGACTAAACCAGGACTAAACCAGGACTGAACCAGGACTAGACTAGGACTAAACCAGGATTAGACCAAGACTAGAGCAGGACTAAATCAGGATTAAATTAGGACCAAACCAGGACTAGACCCGGACTGAATCTGGACTAAACCAGGACTAGATCTTAAAACAAGACTGGAACTAAGACTAAACTAGGGATTTAAGAATCAGGACTAAAGCAGGACTAAACAAGAACTAAACCAGAACTAAACCAGAACTAAAGCAGGACTAAAGCAGGACTAAAGCAGGACTAAAGCAGGACTAAAGCAGGACTAAAGCAGGTCCCAGATTCAGATTAAACGGATTCTTTTTCCGACTGGATTTTGGGTTTGTTTACATCGTCCTCCATTTTGTTTTTTCGTCGTCTTCCATTTTGAGCCCAAACCCGCTTCACTTCCTGTCTGCGTCTGAAGTCACGTGACCGACACTAACCAATCACAGCCGCCGTAGCAGATCCAAGTCCCTGAAGCGACTTTAAACGACAAACACTTTAATGAAACATGAACAGAGATTATAAACGGTAACGTAAGAAGAGAAATAAGCTCCGAAAGTCTTAAGTTATATTCAAACGTCTGTATTTAAACTGGAAACTTGTATTTATTGTGATAATTTAAGCAGCAGCAGCAGCACTGTGACTGACAACGAGGAAATAAAAGGCTAATTATGAAACAGGAAAAGTGTGTCCTGCTTTTTATCTTTTATGTCAAAACTGTAACATGTATTTTCTGGTGGAACGTCTGGAATGTTCCGCAGTGTGACTTTAAACAGCTCGACTTTACATTTATTCAATTACAAGTGGTTTTAAAGGTTAAAAACACCTCGAAAAACAAACATTCTCACTGTGAGCGACGTCGCCTCTCCACAGATCTGACCTCGTACTTGGTCTGTTCTGGTTTCCGTGACGATAGAAAGGTTTAATGCCATACTGTGGAACATTCCAGATGAAAAAAGCAAGAACATCTCCATGGAGACAAGTGTCTGAATCCATCCTCCATGTTCTTCGTCTTCTCTGGGGTCGGGACTCGGGGGCATGAGTTTGAGCAGAGCCTCCCAGACTTCCTTCACCCCAGACACTTCCTCCAGCTCCTCCAGCCCAGAGACAGAGTCCCTCCAGTGTGTCCTGGGTCGTCCTCCCAGTGGGACATGAACACCTCCTGAGGGAGACGTCCAGGAGACATCAGAACAGACGTCCAAGTGTTATGACCCAGCTCGTCCCAGGGGAGAAACAAAAAACCAACATGTTAAATGGAATAAATAAAAAATGTTTAATTAAGAGGTGATGTCACAGGTAAATGAAAGGTTGTATAGAGGATTTTTTAAGGAAAGAGAAACACAACGACAGTCCTTTTTCAAAAATTGTGCATGTGTGACACCACCTTCCTCCTCCACAGCCTCAGTAGAAACACCTCCTCCTCCCGCCTCTTTACTCTAGAAATCACGTTTTTTTTTACATCCACTGCTCGTTCAGAATCACTGTTGAAGTTTCCTGTCTAGAAATAATTTATCGACCGACGCGTCTTTAGTTTTTAGACCCTTCGTCTGCTTTAGTCGCGCCATCGCTGGAAGGAATCTCCAAGAATCACCTCAGTTTGTCTTTGCTCCTTTTCTCCTTCTCTTCTTTTTTCACCGACCTCAAAAACCGACTTTCTTTTGCGGCGAACTGGTCGTGGATTCTCGTCCGATGTCGCAACAAACTTTGTGCGAACTGCGAGGAAGCGACAGTTTGAAAAAGCCTCTAAGAACCGCTGCATAAACCACGAAATCCCCGCACGCTGATGAGTCACTTACACTAGAAATGTAGGGTGTTTGATTGACGACTTAACAGCCAATAGATAAAGAGGGAGCCTCGTTTTCTATTGGCTGATGTTTATTTGGCCTCAACACGTCCACAGTTGATACATTTTCATTCTTTTTTTTTTTGGTCATAATTACAAAGCTGCTGCGTCTCTGTAAAAGGTATTTTAAACTTTCACTGACAATTTGAAACTGAAAAAAAAAATCCTCCATACAACCTTTAACAGAAAAACTAAAATATACAGAAAATAACTTAAACTAAGAAACAAAACAACAGGATCAACATATAATGAGTTTTGTGCCACAAAACGGCTCACGCAGGTTTACACAAAAACTAGTGGTTAAACTAAGGGACAAAAACAAAACTGAAACA